CTTCCATTTTGGGACTGATTCATTGCTGCATTTTCTTTGGTGGTATCCCTGAAACCTTTAATGTTTCACATACCACCTGTGGATAGAGGTCGCAATTCACCCTGGCAGATTCCTGGAACAAGAGTAATGTTCAAACAAAACCATTTTCAGTTAACTTTGTCAATAGGTTGTGGCTTTCAAGGAGAGAGATGTAACATGCTTGTGTTTTGCACTGACCACTAACTAGAAAACAATCTCCCCCAGTCTACTGCTGGTGAGAGAAGAGCCAAAGCATTAATTCTACAGCTTGAGTGATTTAATTTCTGTGGACTTTTCCCCTTAATCGTCTGCTGCATTGAAGATCTGTTTACTTCTTAACCACTTACAGGGTGCTCCCCACCACTGTTTTTAGGATCTAAATAACAGCCTGGAGAAGCCTGACAGTATTACAGCAGCTTGATTTGTCTACTTCAAACTGGGGCTAAGACCCCATTTAATGGGGAAGAGGATTCACATCTGCCTCAGAGGGCTGACTTTGGAGCTCTTTCCGTTGACTATGCAGAGGACTTCGGTTTCTCTGAGATGCATCAAAGTTCTGTGCCAAATGAACAATCTCCAGAGTCAGTTGCCTCAGTCCAGATGATAATTTTTGTGCCATAGTTGGATTCAACTCAGATTTCTTCAGTAATCCTAACAGGATAAAGAGCCTTTCTACATGTCATAGGAATTAATGCATTTTAAATTGATGCAAACTTATTTTGTAAAAAAATTAAAAATAAATAAAAAAAATTTGCAGAAATAGACACAGGTTGTAAATTAGGACTTGTTTCTTTGGGTATTTTTTTGTAATTCCTAATTCAGACTCAGGGAGTTCTTAGGTGGTGTTTAGGGATGAAGCGGTTCATTCGTTCATGAGATTTTGTGCTTTACTTTGCTATGCTGAAGGGAAGCTTCTTTAGGAAAGCAGGGTGGTTAATTTAGCAGTTGTGAGGGTGTGTGGTATGGCAAGAGCCATGTGCATCATGTTTATTAAGCTTGAGCTATTTCAATAAACATGAGACTTGCTTGGAGTTTGGAGTGGTGTGGTGTTTCACTTCCTGTTTCATAAATGCATGGGAATGTTTGTGACAGAATTCAGAAAGCCAAGTCTATTTTTCACAACTATTAATCCATAGAACAAGTATAGAGAAAAGTAAAATAGCTAGGTAAACTTCTTTTTCCCTGAAAGAAACTTTTCCCAAGCTTAAAAGGCCATTCTTATTTAGGTGAACTTCTCTGAGACTTTTAAGTAAGGTAATAATTGTTAATAATTACTCATAAGAGGGAGTAATTTTCTAAGCCTTCAGGTGAGGCTTCTTTTAAACCACTGACGTGGTGGAAAGCTTCTTGTATCATATTCTTAAACCTTGGGTAATTGGATTGCTTAACAGACTGTTTGGTAATCTCATAATAGGCATTTAATTACATAGTAAGGCAGGGAGCTAAACTTTGCTACAGTACACAGGAACCAGCTTTTGACCTTTGTCACCTTCAATAATAAATGTGCTCAGGCTGTACTTTTCTGTACATTCTGAATACTGTAGTTGTGCATTAGAGTGTATTAAATCTTACGTGTTGCCACCTTTGTTAGCTGATGAACACCCCTGTGTGCTTGGAAATAAAGCCAGAATACTGGAAGCTTTACACAAAAGTCATTATGGAGCTTCTCTGCTTCACTGGAATAAGGAATATGGAAATTGTGAGCTGTTTTAGTTCTCCCTGACTCACTGGAGTTGCAGGCCCTGTGTGACAAACTTGAAGAGGTGTCAGTGGAAAGAATTGTGCAAAATAAGGCACCCTGAACATAGACATGAGTGAGAAGCTTGGTCTATCTAGAATCACCTGTGAGGAAGTAAGAGTTCAGTGATGAATAGTATGTTTTTCTAAGCAGATCTTAAAAACTGAGTGCCTGTTCTGTGGACCTCTGTGGTACAGGTATGTGCTGTTGAAGGTTGGCTGAACATCAGCTCTGGACAGTATAAAAATGCACTGGCTTAACAGAGGGCGTGGGACACTCCCTGCTGGCTGGGTCTCAGCATTTAGTGACTGCTAGAAAGGCAGAGGAAATTAGTCCCTGTTCAGCTGATGGATCCTCAGACTCACAGACCTGTGTGCAGCTGAAGACAATGCATGGTCCAGGGCTTTGAGAGATGTACAACAATTGGGCATATCAGGGACAACACAGACAGAAAGACCTGGTTTTGTCCTCATGTTATGCTTGGAACTTGACAAGGATTTTGTTGCAGTCATCTGCAAGTATATTTAGTGTTCGTTTCACGCAGAAGGCCTGAGGATGGTGGAGTGTGTGTTAGTGGAGTGTACTGAATGATGCACTAGCTCCACACAGAGCATTTTTACACTGGTTAGTGATTCCACAACACTAATGAAAGTTTATACATTGACTCAAGCAGTATAGAAGTGCCTCAGCATAGGAAGAGGTGGTAAAACAGACTTCCTACTTGGGCCCTGCAAGAGAAACAGTTTTGTCAGCTTGGGAACAATTTTTTCTTTAAATTATTTATAGTGAATGTGTCATACCAATAAACAAACAAAAACCCCAAAGCCCCTAAAAATAAACTAAACCCCTCCAAATGAAACAGAAGTTCCTTAATATCATTAAAAGTTACAAATGGTTTTACTCTGTAAGATGTGAGAGAGAAACCTTGATGACTGGATAGGTTTTTGGATACCTAATAAAATGGCTCCTAGTGGAAGATTTTTCTGGTTATGAAAGCATTTATAACAGTTTCTCCTTCTATTGTGTTATAAAATACAAACTCATGCAGCAGAACTGCCCGTCAGGAGCTTGCCTTTCTTCCTGTCAGCCTATTTTCATAAACTTCATGTGACCAAAATAATTGAAATTGTCAATGAAATAAAAATTTATGAAGGTTGGATGGACACTAACCACACCTGTAACATGGTGCCTAATTATTTTCTGAGTGGAAGTGTCTGCATTGTATTCTGACTCTTCCATAAATTATGTCTGTATGCTGCTGAGAATACAAATCAATTTCTCATTCCTGAGTTTTGAATTCTGAATGAAAGGATTTTAGGATATTCTCCTGATGGTTATTATTTTGAAAACTGATCCTGTTAAGGTAAAGCTTGAGAATTAGCAATTTACTTCACTGGCAGTTTTCTATCATCAGCTATTGTTGGAAATTAATTAAAGCGACCTTTGATTATGCTTGATACTGTCTGGAGAGGTTTTCAATGAAGCTTGGCTGGGGAGGTGGAGATCAAGAATTTGCTAAAGAAAATGTGTTGGTTCTGTTATGAAAAGTATTTTGTGTTTAGGCTAAAGTTTTTAATCAAAACTGAAGAGGAATGTGTGTTCTTAATCCTGAAATTCTTAGCATCTCTATAGCCTCAGAGTTCAAGCTGCTTACCAGGGATGCGAGGAGGAGAGTTTTATCTCGTTTAATTTTATCCCGAATCTGCATTTGAATATGCAGATTAACAGAAGGGGACTGGAGTTTAGATTCGTAGAATCATTTAGGGTTGGAAAAGACCTCCAAGCGCCCTCCTTCCCTCCAAACCCATTACACCCATAAAGCTTGGGACAAACCCGTGCCTACCAACTTTCGGTGCTGCAAAGCAGTGTGTAGTTGGTTATCCCTGGGGCGCTGAGCCGAGGAGCGTTTTTGTGTATTTCGGAAAATACACTTTTCTGGCAGTAGGATAACACCCCGGTGCCGCGGGTGGGCGCCGGGCGGCGCTGCCGCTCGCCGGGAGACCGCGCGGGGCCGGGCGGGACCGGGGCCGGGCGGGACCGGGCGGGACCGGGCGGGACCGGGCGGGACCGGGGCCGGGCGGGACCGGGGCCGGGCGGGACCGGGCGGGACCGGGCGGGGCCGGGCGGGACCGGGGCCGGGCGGGACCGGGCGGGACCGGGGCCGGGCGGGACCGGGGCCGGGCGGGACCGCCCCTCACCGGCTCGGCGCGCAGGTGAGTCCGGGTGTGAGCACCGCGTTGTGCCAGCACGGGAACAGCTTCCTTGACAACGAGAGCAGGCACCGCCGCGCTTTCCGCTGCTCCTGGTGCCTGTCCTGCTTCCCTGGTGCTGGTCCTGAGCAAGTCTCCATTCCTCTTCCCCAGCCCGCCTTTCCCGGCAGAGGGCTCGGCGTGTTCTGGGATGTTGCTTTATCTCTGGTACAACAATAATACTACCATACAGAGGGATAGAAGAGGAGGATGGAAAAATAATTTTTCCCTCTAACGCTGCATTCGTTTCAGTATGTTGGTTCTAATTTTCTCTCCAGCTAACTTTTCCTCATTTTCCTCCTACCCACTGTAGTACTGTGCTGTTTACGTTATAGCTCGTACCTAACAGTGCAGCCTGGGGTAGGTGCTTGCATCTTGTGCTCATGTGGAATCTATTTAAGACCCTTTGTGGGGCCTCATTCCAAACTATGTGCCCTTCAACCTAAACTCTGTAGCAGGAGTGAGTTTTTGAGAGATTTTTGCAACACATGGGAAAGTTTGGCAGCAATGTAAGTTGAGTGAAAAAAGCTGGGGTTGTGTTGCTGAGTAAGGTACAGAAGGGGTTTGTGTGTGCTCCGTCCTTTTTTATTTGGTATGCACAAGGTATGTGCTGACAAGGAAACTGAAGTTACCAGGGTGGAGATACGTGATAAATGCTGTTTGGTGGCTAAGCCAGCCAGCTTGGACTCGGGTTCTGGAGGATGGGGGTCGGTGCTCTGTGATGGGGGGACTGATTGCGGCGCCGGGCCGGGCGCGGAGCGGGCTCGGGGCGGCGCCAGCCTCCCAGGTAAGTGCTGCTCGCTCCCCCTTGCTTGGGCTTTGTCTTGCAGGATATCCTAGAAATAGCACTGCAGAATTCCGTTATTTTTCCTTAAGGGACTTAAGCATATTTTTCTATGACCTAATCTTCAGGCAGTCAATGCCTATTCTTTAAAATATGGCTTGTGGGCAGCAATGGCTCTACAACGTATTGAGACTTGATGTGTCTATAGGGATTAGTTAGAGGAGTGCCTTTAAAGCAGCTGAGCAATTTATATCAATCTCCCTTTAGTGAGACTTGGAATACATTGTAAAATAAATTAATTCCCTGTATAATTCTAATAAAAGAGAGGATCACTTATCCCATGTGGGAGACTTAATTTCTGATTGTGACTGTATAAATCAACAGAAATCACATGAATATTCTTGGACCCAGGTGGAGATCATGTTATAAATGCCTTATTGTGAAATTGAATCAGAAGATTGAAACAAAGCTCTTGGATATAAATCATCACCTGTTAGATTAGTGTCTTGCACTGGGTTTTAATTCACAGCAGTTTAAATAATTTAAATGAATTAATTCAACAGAACAGTCTCATAACAGCAAGGAATCTGAATTTCAAAGTATATGTGGAACAGGTTTATACCTATGTCCAATAAGGACCTACTGATTGCCTGAATAATGGCACAGATAATGTTACTGCTACTGTTTAGGTAGCAGTCACATAAAAAAACCCCAAAATTTTAATTTTTATTGCCTTATCTATAAAGGCAAAAGAATAACAAAGGATGACACAAAGAAAGAGTAACTTTTGAAGTGTCTGCACTAAGTGTAATGGAAGATATGCCAACTCTTTCTCTGAATTTCAGCATTAGAGTTCTGCACTTCTGCTTGTTTTGCCTACTGTGCAAGTCTCTTGTAGAGCTCTGCTGATCACCTTGACCAGCTAATTCTGTTCTGAGATTGTAATGCATTATATCACCTTCTGTATGACAGGAAAGGGAAGTTTCCCTTTAACGATATTGCCATGTATGAATTTCTGGGGGTGGAGTCACTGCTTGAGCAGGCTGCATAAAAGCGTGCAGGATTTCCAGCTGTGTCAGACTGCAATCAGCATGAACTACAGCCTGCCACACCGAGTGCTGCTCAGCTCTCCGATGGAGGCACAGCAGGACAGGTTGTGCCTGCAGTCTCTTTGGGACTTCATCATCGCAAAGGAGCCTTTGATCAAGTCACCGTTTTTTCCAGTGCTCTTTTCTTTTGCAGCATACATGGCTTTTTGTCTTCCATATATTGCACTGGACTTTTTAAGCATTAGACTGCCAGACTTGAGAAAATACAAAATCCAGCCACAGAACTACCCAAGTCTTGGAATGATGGTGCCTTGCATTATTCAGAGTGTATATCACCATGTTGTTTTGATCTTCCCGGTGACATTTCTACACTGGTGCTGGAGACCCATGCATCTACCAGTGATGGCTCCAGAGCTGCCTGAAGTCCTGCTGCAAGTAGCAGTTTGTCTGCTGCTATTTGATTTTGAGTACTTCCTGTGGCATTTGCTTCATCACAAGGTGCCTTGGCTCTACAAGACCTTCCACAAGGTGCATCACAAGCACGTGTCGACGTTCGCCCTTACTACACAGTATTCCAGCGTATGGGAGTTGCTCTCACTGGGATTTTTTGCTGCTATAAATCCACTACTCCTGGGATGCCATCCTTTGACAGAAATGATTTTCTTCCTTGTAAACATTGGTTTGTCAGTGGAGGACCATTCTGGGTATGACTTCCCATGGTCAACTCACCGACTTGTGCCTTTTGGATTGTATGGAGGAGCACCACATCATGATCTCCACCATCTGAAATTCAAATCAAACTATGCTCCTTACTTCACACACTGGGACAAACTCTTTGGGACATTCATGGAGTCACATTCTAATTAAGAATATTTACCTGTGGATGAACTCTTATTTTTTATAGACTAAACTGGGACATTATTTTTTTAAAGACATACAGAAGATTGTATATTTGAAACTGCCTACAAAAGCAATAGTTATTTATAACAAATCCTCTTAATATATTTGTGTATTTGTGTGTGTACTTGGAACTGCCTGTGTTAAGTGACTGCAAATGGGAAAGTGAATATCTGTTGCTTAAATGGGAGTCTGAGGTTTAAGGGAAGCATTAAGAGACATTCTCTCTCCTTTCCTTCTTTCCAGCTTTCATAAAGCATGTATCATGTTACTGTATGATGTTTTATACATATGCCAGAACGTTACCTTACTGTTGTAGGATGATTTATGATGTAAACAGAAAAGGTACACATCATGGATTTTGTGGAGTTTAATCTGCCAGAAGAAATTTTTGCGCAATGATTTTTGCAAAACATTGCTGCCAAGTCAGGGTGGTTGGCTAACTGTTAAATGATTTTTGATATTTATATTTTTTACCTTGATGTGTTGTCTCTTTTTAATAGAGAATAAATATGTTCATTCTTTTAAAATCATATTATGTTTCATTTTATTAATTCCTCTGTTCATATTCAGAACAGGTATGGTTCCTTGCACATGGGTGTAATTTATTTGAATTATAAAATCATGTAACTGTTTAGGTTGGAAAAGACCTCTAAGATAGAGTCCAACCATTACCCTAACACTGCCAAGTCCACCACTAAACCCTGTCCCTGAGTACCACATTTACACATCTTTTAGATACCTCCAGGGATGGTGAGTCAGCCACTTTCCTGGGCAGCCTTATCCTGTGCTTGACAGCCCCCAGTGAAGAACTTTTTCTTAATATCCAATCTAAACCTGCCTGGCCCCAACTTGAGGCCATTTCCTCTTGTCTTTTCCCTTGTTAACTGGGAAAAGAGACTGACATTCATTTTAATTTCAGAGTTGCAGAGTTTTGTAATATTTCAAAAGTGGGTAGTTTCCTTTTACTCCAGAGTCATATGTTATTTTAAAATAATTTTCAGTTTTGTAGAAACATAATATTGAAGAATGCAGCTTAGAAAGTCAGTGAAATTTTATTATTATATTTCTGATACTTGAATAATTTTTACTAAGCAGCCCTTTAAATGGGAGCATTGGTCCTTCAGAATCATATCGATTGTTCTTCCATGCAAAATCCTGTCAGGGAATATAAACAGGGTTTGTACAAGGTAGATAGTTCTTTCAAGCAGATTTCAGGGGAATAGAATTGAACCTTTCAGAGTCCTGAGACAGAACACAATGGCTATGCATTGCTAGAACAGTTACATACAGAAGATCAAAATGTATCTCACAGAAGTCACACTGAAAAAATTAGGCATGAAGAGATAAGCAAGTCTTTGAAGTCTCATTCAGCAGAGATCCACATGGGTGTCTAATGTCTCCTGCAAAACATTTTAATGCTTCTTATCATCCTATTCTGTATTACTAATAAACTTCCCAGGATGATGATGGAAAGAGAGAAAGCACAAATAATGTAGAAAGTGCGGAAAGAACACTTAAGCATCATCAGCCAAAAATGTCTTTGTCCTGATGTTATGTCTAGAGGGTTGTGTGACCTTACAGAGGCTGTTTAGTAGAAAAGAGAACCCTTAGTATTTCCAGCAATGTGAATTTATAAAGGGAGCAGCACTTTGAGACACTGCGTCTTTTTGATACAGGAAATACTGTTCATAAACATCTTCTTAAACAATATGAAATGCTGCAATCTGAGAGTATTCAAATACTCTCTCTGCTCTCTGGATATCACAGAAGAGCAACCCTTCTCTTCCTTGTTAAGAACATGATGCATACTCAGAGCAAAAATTGAGGCTTAAAATAATACTGGAATCTGTCATTCATCTATTAAGCTGTGAGGAAGAGTCCCCAGTTGTTCTGATGGTTGTAATCTTAGGTATTTTGGTGTGTTTTGGAAAGAGAGGGAAGTGTTCTTTCTTTTCTGCCGAATGCAGGAGGAAAAAACCATTTTCTGATTTCTTTGAGCTGTTTAGCCATTTTGAGATGTCCCTAAGTTATCTTTGCTGTTCTAGAAATCCCACTTAATTCAGCTTGGCAAATTCTGAGCATCTGGCAAGGATAATTTCTGGTTTCAATGATTATACCTTACACTATATTTTGTAACTTTACACTATAACAGTCATGTACTATTGGCTCTCTGAGTAAGCAAGGGTAAGACTAACTGGTGCTTGCATATGTTGCTGTAGGAAACCTGTGAGCAAAACCCACAAGAAAGGTTGTAAGTAAACTCATGGGGATTATTCTGCTTTTTATATGAAGCTTAAGAGTTGATATAGTACTTTATATAGTACTAGAACTGGAGAATTCTAGTCAGCTGCAGGCAAGACTATGCTTGCTGTTAAGTCAAGTGAGACGATTGTCTGATTTGGCACTGACAATGTAGCCTGACAGCTACTGAGGCCAATCAAACTGGCAAAGGGAGGAAGCAATGTGCTGCATAATGATCCTGCCTGTTCCTCACATCCTTAACATTTGCATCACTTCAGACACACGCCAAGAATGTGTTTCCTCAACTATGGAATTTCCCCAGATTATATCTGTACCTAAGGTATAGCAAATGAGACCTGGAACCTCAGTTTAAAGATTCATTATTGCAAGAACTTGGAATGCTCAAAAAAAAAAAAAAAAAAGGTTGTTAAATGAATATTTGACTAATACATGTCTGGAATGGCTTTTTTGAACGTCATACTAGAAATATTTGTATTTCATCCTCATAATGAAATAATGTTCCCTCATAATGAAATAATGTTCCCTATTTCTCCAATGCTTTAGAAGGTAACTTAGGTTCTAAACTCTGAGGGATTGAATCCATTTGCATGTTGTGTGTACTTGGAAGTGCTTTCTGTAGCAGTTTACATTAGTCTTAAGTTTAGTTGTACGTGTGAGAAAAATTCGTGAGAAGGAGACCCAAACACATAACTTCAGGCCTTTGCAATTCAATGAAAACATGTAATGGAGATAAAGCAAATAAGGGTTAGGTTTTTTCCTATTTTCATTGAAAGCTCAGCATATACAGTGCCACTGAGCATGAGAGAACAGTAAATTCTGTGTATTGATAGTGGTGAGATTTGAAAACAGGATTTTATAGATGTTACTTCCTATATTTGTATTTCCCCATGGTCTTTACCACAAATCTTTACCAGACAAAAGGAAAGGCATGACACTCACTTGTAAGGGTTTATGTAAGAAAACCAAACCCAACTTTCTCTCTTCTGTTCCAAAAGTCTCCTAGCTTCCTTCCTCTTTATAATGTGACATGGTGCTCCACACAGACTTCCTATCTAATCTGCTGAAAGCTGAACTGTGGTCATTTGTGAGTAAATAGAGGATGATTGCAGAGACCTTCAAAGCTATACAGTGAAGGTTTTTGGTGCTGCTATTGTCCACTTTATATCTTCAAAATTTAACAAAGCTCAAAGAAAGAAGATTTTATGCATTTCTCTGTCTTAACTCTTAGGCACACATTATATATTGAACTCTTTTCTTGTGAATTGCAGGAGTTCCCAAATTCTCACTGGCAATTTAGTCCTATACTTCTCTTGAAAATTAGTCTGAGTTTTCCAAATGATACCCAATTTGGCAATTTTGAGATAAGAGTATAATACTGCAAAGGGACAGGTTTGTACTTGGTGGGTGTGTTTCCAGTGCTGCTGTAGAGTGGGCTCCTCATGTGCTTTGGAGTGAGCATATGATGCTTAGAGCCTGCCAGGTCAATATTCAGTGCTGGAAAAGGCTTCGTCCTCCCTCATGTTGATCAAGTGCAAGCACTTCACAGGAGAAAACCTGCACAGTTATTGTCTAGATTTATGATTTCTTATGATTTTTTGTGATTTATTATTATGAGAAATAATCTGTATCAATAATGGATTTAGTGACTTGGTTAATCTAGTGTGTTACCGGGATTAAATTAAAAACTAGGATCTCTTTGGGTAATGCTATCTCTAAATTAATTTTGAAGCTATTTGTGATGACAGAACACTTAATTGTCATCTGTTGCCTCTCAATATTATTGGAAGGAATGAATCACTCTGATGTGTCTTTATCTTAGTGGCCTCAGCAGTCACTTCAGTTTCACTTATTCTTGCTTCCATTATTCTCTATTACCTGCCCATATCCATGCAACCCTTTTTGAACTAGTAATGAATCTGTATCTGAAAAAATAATCTGTCCTGGACTTTCTGAAAGTACAAAACCCCACTGGAATTATTCACAGATTTCCTTGGGGGAGAGACTGACTGGAGTGTGAACCAAGCATCACATTTACATGTAAACATTTGACATTTACATGTCAAAGCCCTGGATTTGCATGCTCAAATATTGAGCAGTGCTGCTCCTGCATTGCTCAGTGCAATCCAACATGAAAAGTCTTCGTAGCACAGTCTGGAGCTGTGTTTGCAGCATGGTTTTCTTGTAAAAGCAACTGCCAAACAATTGTTTTTTAAAACTTAAATGTGTTTCTAATTTAGGGAAATTTGAAGTTGTTTACTGAAAAAGTCCCATGCTCTCCCCAAATTAACCAGCATAAGCATTCCAGGCTTTAAAGGGAACAGAACCAATGCAGAGAGCCCTTCAGCTGTGGAAAATGATGCAGAGTTTTTAATCCTTCTTTCCAAAAACTTTTTTCTTCTCAAAGAGAAGATTTTAAAAGCTTACTAATCACCTTGTCTCCCAGTCTGGAATGGTTGCTGTGATCAAGGCTATAGGTGTGCACAGGGGGAGAAGAGAAAGGAGGGTGGGAAAGTGCTTTTATTTCTGTCCCTTGGTGCAGCGTGCAGCGCTGCCAGGTATGGATGGAGTGTTGCACTGATATATCCTTCCCACCAGAGCACAGATGGTTTCAGCCCTCAGGTGCTTACTGCTGGAATGGTTCAGACTCCACATCCACACTCAGTCTTTCCTTATTTTTATCTCTTTCTTTCTGGAAATTCCCACAGCAGCAAAACACAGCAACCTGCAATAGGGAACTCCACCTTTGCTCAGCATAAATACAAATATGATTTTGTGTCACCAAGCGTAAGACTAAGTTAAAAAGATCTACAGGCACGTGGACTGGAGTGCCTCTTCCATGCTCAGATTTGAGGTAGCAGGTTTTACTTGTGGAAAATAAAAAAGTCAACAGTCCAAAGGGGATGGTTAGTAGGCCAGGCAAGGACTACTTTGGTTTCAGTCTATTGAGAAAGGCTTCAATTCTACAGATATGTGATTTAAAGGGATGGGAAAGGATGGGCTACCTGTACTTCCAGGGAGAATTTAGATGGCATATATTTTTATTTGTCCTCAGAACTATGCAGCAAACAATTCAAGGGATTAAGTATTCCAAAATCTAGGCTGGACCACAGGAAAAACTATTTTTAAGGTGAACAAGATGCACCCTCTTTATCAAAAGAATATGAAAAAACACTGCTAGAAATGTTTTTGGTGTCTGTTTACACACATTTTCAACCATTCACAGCAGCTGTGAAAAATTATACCCCTAACAAACAACACACGTGTAATT